GGAATGAATGAGTGAATGAATGAATGAATAAGTGAACGAATGAATAAGCAATGAATGGATGAATGAAAATAGCTGATGATTACAATCAGTCATTCATCCCTTCCTTGATCGGTTCCTCCATTTGAATGTTAGTTGATTGACTGATTTATTCAGAAATTCAGTCACTCACCGTATGATCACTTAATCATAAATCCCATAATAGCTGTGCAACAGGGGAAAAAAATAATTAGTTCTTTTGGCACTCTTTTGGTCCCGCCGCGATTTTAAGTTGCCAGCTTAGAAAAGTCGTATAAAAATAAATTAGTGCATTTACACGATCGCGAGACTCCAAGTTTTCACGGGCCGCAATTCGGCCAGATTTAAAAGGACTTTTTACCTTTCAAAACTGATTTTTGGACGTAAAAAGTATATTTGTTGTCACATTTTTGCTCGTTGCACTCTGTGATAGCTTTTGTTTCATTCAACCAGTCAAATCGTTGGCCTATTCTAAAAAGGATTGTGATTTGCTAATTTAAGCGTGTTTTAGGAGAGTGTAGAACATCATGACGCCAACTCTCGTTCGCTTTGAAAATAAAGTTTGTTTGGAAATTAGACAGCAATGCGTGGGTTTTTAACGAATTCTTCATCATTAAAATAAAGAAGTCTTGACTGTTCTCTGTTCTGTTGTGTAGCACTTAGGAAGCGGCTACAGGAGCACTCAAGAAGTACGGAGAAACGATCGACTACGTCTCGTGTTTCCCCCTACACTTCTTTCGTGCTCTAGCCAGCGTGCTTTACGACAGAACAAAGCACAGGCAAGGGTTCTTTATTTGTTAAATATACTGATTAGCACAAATTTACGCCATTCAAAGCAATTTGAATATACTTCATTATGCGTGCAAGCCATCAGCTCTTAAAGATATCACTCTGGTAATGCAGTTAAGTCTTATGAGTTACCATTCCCACGATGCACTGCAGGTCCCAACATTTTGGGATTTGTTGCATCCGTTTGCTCACCACTGCCAACACGGACCCAATAATTCCCAACATTGTTGCCAAGCCAAAGCTGTCAAATTACAAAAGTAGGATAAAGTGTGACAACCAATTAATACTAGCCGTATTTTTGAGGGTTTTTATTGAGTCACTGAAACCCTAATTCGTCTTTACCGTCATTTGTATTAATTCCGGTAGAACATTTATGGGCACTCCACGTTCGCGGGCCAATCACAGGCCTTGATTTTTGGATTAAATAGGAGTCCCGTGGGACACCTTTGATTGTATAGTTTGCCACCATGGCACTGAATGTACTTGCTGCAGTCAGAGAGATCTGGATGGATGCCGTCACCAGCGGCTGAGCAAGAGAAAGTAACTGAAAAACAAAGAGAATTAAAACTAAAAGTAATGCTTTCATCCACATTGTTTTCTTCGCTATTAGCCACAACTGCAGCATTGGGTGCGGTAAAATGTTGGCACTTGAATACCAATTTACCATTCATAGATAAACAACCAAAAAACTGTACATTGTATAGTTCTGGTCCCAGTTGTTCAAATAAATCACTATCCAGTGGATAATGCAATTGGTTTCCTTATTAGTTATCCACTATCTACGCTTTTCATAAATAGTTTGAAAAATACGCTAAAAGAACTTACCTGTCAGCGGTCAGCGAGCGTGATGGCCGCGTTTTTTGTTGGCTCTGCAACTTGCCAACTTGACATAATTTCTCACGTAAATCTTACTTTTTCTTTTACAAACTAATAACAATTAACAAAAAATGTCTTCAAAAAGAGGAAAGCAAAAAGAAGTTGTGGAAGAGGATTTTGAGGCGTTTGTACGCCACCAGTTGAGTTCAATAAGTGACGACCTAAAAGAAATGAAAGGAACTCAAGTCAAGATTCAAAGAGACATTGAATCTCTTCAGTATGCTTTTTTATGATTATTTCCACCATGAAAAGTTTCCTAATATACCTGTTTCATTAGTATCTGAACTACATAATTACAGTACCCGCAGTGCATCATCCAATCACGTTGCAATACCTTTATTTCGAACTAATCTTAGGAGATTTTGCCCCAGCATTATTGGAAGTTTCTTTTGGAACGATATTCGGCAATCCATTAGAGAAAAACCATCTAAAAAAATGTTTAAAAAAGCACTTTTACGCTGGTACCTGGCTCAATACTAATTAATCAATATCCCTTTTATAACTTTCTGAGCTATTTTGTCATTTTTCCTTTTTTCCTTTACTTTTTTATTAATAATTTTAAGTCCTTTGGTATACATAACTTTAAGGGGCACAATATTAGTTTATCTAGATGTGCCCCTCTCCTCTCCTTCCAATATACAATGTAATTCAATTTAAGTGTTGTAATTTCTATTTTACGCGTTTATTTCCTTTGTTAATCTTTATCTGTTACCTGGTTACTATATTATTTTTCTCAGTTATATTTACATAACTTTATAAAATAACTGAGATAGTACGCGTGATCTGATTGGTCAAAAACCTATGGTTTATTATACCGGTAAACCCATAGAAAAAGGCATCCGAACCACGAGCCATAAACAAAACCGGCTATTGATCTGCAAACGATTTTAGAAAGGCTAAAAAACAGAACAAGTTACTTACCCAGCCCTTCTTAATATTAAAAGCGTTGGTTTCCACATTTTAGTACTGAGCGTCACAATTCGCTACTGCCATAGCTTTAGAAGTTATAAAGTACAAAGCTGGAAAACAGTTTACATTTCACGACGATGCCAAATCGCAGAGAAAGACAACAACTGTGTGAATTTCTGGTGTACAAAGTCTCTAGGAAAACTTAACAATGTGCCAACCAGCAACAAAACGGATAGTTTTAGCATTCTTGATTTATTTTAT